CGGAGACGAGGAGGATGGGGGGAGGGGAGGGGAGGATTAGAGGGGTAGGAGGGAGGGAGGGGGAGAGGCAGGGAGGCAGCGGCCACCTCCACGGGTGAGAGGGAGAAGGGAGAGGCGGGCGCGTCTCGAGCGGGAGAGACGCGGTACTGGAAGAGGCTGCCGCCCGACCCTCCCCCCGCGCTGCCGCCCCTCGCGCCGTGCCGTCCCGAGCCGCGCCGCGAAGTGACTGCCACATTGTCGCCGAGCAACTCGTTCCGCAGCAGCATGTTGTACGGGTCGTCATCGCGCGGCGTGGTGGCGGCGCCGCCGTCGCCACTGCGCTCGGCTCCGCTCCCGCCGCTCCCCCCTCCGCCTCCGCTGCCGCCCTCTGGCAGGAGCGCAAACTGCTCGGCCAGGTTTACTCCGCGCCGCGTCGGGATGAACCGGTCGCCAGTGTAGTCCGCCTTGGAGCTCGATCCACCGGAGGAGCGGCTCGGCGGTGTCGAAAAGCCGCCCCAACCGCTCGAGCGCGCCGAGGGAGGGGTGTAGGGCGGTTCCATCGATGGAAGTGGCCCGGCGAGCGTTCTGCAAAAACCGGACTGACGACTGTCGGACTAGGGAAGCTTGAGATAAAGAAAGGAGCGGATGCGACCCAAAAGACCTCGCGGGGCGAGAGTACATCTTGGCATGTCGAGGGTCGCGCCGCCGATGCCTGCCTCGTACCGCGACGGTCCGCGTATGTGTGCATGCCTCCTGACCGCCACGGTCACGGCCGCTGCGCTCCGGACAGGTTCGTTCGACGCGCTCGACCGTGATCTGGCTCGGCGGCCGCCGCTTTCTTTGGCGTCGAGCGCCCGGTGGTGAGCGCCTCTCACGGCCTTTCCAGCAGGCCGTTCGCTGCCCCGGCGCAGCCGCACCGACCCCCACGGCCCGCCGCACGCGCGCAGGCGCGGCTCGCGCACCTTTCTCGAGGCTGGCACCGCCGTCGAGCACCGCGCTGCCACCGACAGCGCACCCGCGCGGCCGAGGCGCCCCTCGCCGGCGCGTGCGGCGAGACGGCGAGCGTGTCGGCGCGCCTTCCGGCCGCCGCACGGCGGACGGGCCGCCCGTCGAGCCGCGCGGCGCCGAGCGAGCCCAGCGGACGCCCTCACCGCTCCGTCGGCGGGTCGTCAGTCACGACGGCCGGCCTCTCCTCCCATCCGCACGCCGCGCCTGGCCGCGCGGCGAGGCGGCGCCGTGCGCCACGCGCTGTCGCTTTGCGCGGCGACAGTGCAGCGGCACATCAAGAGCCAGCATGACTCTCCATTGAACTTCTATGTGTCCCTGTCTCCGTCTGGTAGCCTCGTGACACAGCCTCAGCTGCTCTGCAGCGCACACACGTGCTGGAGGGTGAACAGCAGGCACAATTAGGCACGAGGAGACCAGAGATAGCGCGATAGGGAGAGGGAGAGTAGGCATAGATGCCGCGAGCGGCCTGGGCTTTGGCGCCCGCCGCTGCGGACGATCACAGGGAGTGCATTCCCGTCGGAGCCTTTGATGTGCGCCGATGGGGCTGGACACCGCGATGCAGTGTTATGCGAGCGGAACTCGGTGAGAGGCAGCGATCGGTTACTCTCGCGCTTTTCTGTGTGAGATATGTGTGTGTGTACCGCGCACGTGGCCGTCAGCGTGTGTCACAAGTTTGTCTCTCGTGTCTGCGGTGACTCGGGGTGTCTGGGTCGTCTCACAAGCGCGACGCGAGAAGGACGGGAAAAGCGTGAAAGACGATCCACGCCGCTCTCGCGCCACGCCACCCGACGTGTTCAGCGACACTGGCGAAGGTCTGTAGACCCAGCTCGTGAGACGCGTGCTGGGCAACACCAATGTACGCTCGAGACAATACGACGCACAAAGACGGATCCGAAGAGAGCGCACGCTCGGAGCACCATCCGCGCGTGGCGCACGGCGCCGCCTCGCCGCGCGCGGCCGGCCGGGCGGCGGCGTGCGGAGGAGAGGAGAGAGACTGACGACCCGCCGACGGAGCGGTGAGGGCGTCCGCTGGGCTCGCTCGGCGCCGCGCGGCTCGACGGGCGGCCCGTCCGCCGTGCGGCGGCCGGAAGGCGCGCCGACACGCTCGCCGTCTCGCCGCACGCGCCGGCGAGGGGCGCCTCGGCCGCGCGGGTGCGCTGTCGGTGGCAGCGCGGTGCTCGGCGGCGGTGCCAGCCTCGAGAAAGGAGCGGCGAGCCGCGCCTGCGCGCGTGCGGCGGGCCGTGGGGGTCGGTGCGGCTGCGCCGGGCTCTCGTGGGTGGCTGGGAAGCGCAGCAGGCGTGTGTATTTGGTCCCGCTCTCGGGGCGGCTGGCGGGCGACTTTGAGCGAGCCGATGCTCCGCGACGCGGTTTCGCGACGCGATGCGCTCAGAGCATATGCTGCGGGACCTCTGTGGCTGGACGCGTACCGGAGGGGCGAAGGCCAGCGACGCGGGGCGGCGAAATGGGGGCGTACCCCCCATCTGCCACGGCGGGCCGGGGGTATGCAGTTTCGCTCGCCCCCCGAGGTCTCTTGGGTCGACGACGCCGTTTCTAAGCCTTTCCAACAGCCCTCATCCACCCCACGCCGTGGTTTCTAGCTCCAGCCGGCACTCAAGCCAGAGCCGGCCCCAAGGATTTTTAGGTAAGTGGCGGCGTCACAAATCCGACCACAGAGCACCGGGAGGTGAGGGCGGTGGCGGCGATCTGAGGCCCAACTAGGCGTATGGATTGCCCACCCAGGGCTGTCACCTGGAACAGGCGCCTGCGGCGCCGTGGTCACTAGCTGTTGTTCACACCCGCCCAACCATTCGTGCAGCACAATAGTAGCGCGAAAGGCTGAACGGTAGTAGGGGCCGCAGCCACGCTCTCAAATCCTCCGCCTCCGCCCGGCGGCAGCCCTTTGTCGCATGAGCGCCATCACCACACTCGGCACGCGCGCCCTCGAAATTCTCGGCGTCGAGCAGGACGCGGCCGATCGCCTGCTCGCCCTCCTGCGCGAGCACCCCGCCGAGCCGCTCTCCACCCACGGCGCGGCGGTGGCGTACCGCCGCTGCACCGAGCGTGCGGTGGGCAATCGGAGCGCCGACGCGGCCCAGTTCGCTACCGCGCACGCCTCGCTGCGCGCGCGCGGCGTCGGCGAGCTCGACCGCTTCACCGCCCTCCTTCAGCGGGTCGGTGAGGAGCGCGCCGTCGCGGAGCTGCTCCGCTCCACCTCCGACGGCTCGGGCAGCGCGGCGCCGCCGCACCCGCGTCCTCCGCCACAGCAGCCGCCGTCGGGGAGCTGCGGAGGCGGCCGGTCGGCGCCGGCCGCCTCGTCCACCCTCCCTCCCGCCGCCACCCGGATTGCAGCAGCCTCGCCCTCACCCTCCGGCGGCACAAGGGCGGGCGCGGCTGGCCGCGCCGACTCCTTCGCGCCACCTCTGCCGCACGGGGGCCGCGAGCTGCCGGCGAGCCGCCCGCTGCCGCCCGCAGAGTCGGCCTGGTTCTTTGGCCGCCCGGCTCTGTGCTGGCGACACCTCGGCGAGGGCGGCGGCGAGGGCGGTGGCGGCGAGGGCTGGGGCGAGTGTGTGAGGGAGGGCGTGTCTGGCGTGTCTGGCGCGCCCCCGCCCCTCTCCGCGCTTGGCGCACTGCCGCTCGAGGCGCAGGGGCGCTGCCTCGTCTCCGGCCCGGAGCCTCTTCCGAGGCTTCTCGGCATCCTGCCTGTAGGCGCAGGAGCGCTGCCTCGTCTCCGACCTCCTCCTCGTGCTGTCGGGGTACGACGGGGTGCACATCCGCGCCACGCCGCTCCCGGCCAGCAGCGCGTGCAGCGTCCCTTCCGCGCGCTTCGCCATCGGCGGAGGCGGCAGCGGAGCCGGAGCCGGTGGCGGCGGTGGCGGTGGCGGAGGCGGTGGCGGAGGCGGAGGTGGAGGCGCGGACCTGTCCCTACTGACGCTCGCGCGGCGGCTGCTTCCTTCGGCGGACCAGCTGGTCGAGTTGCGGGGCTGGGTGGGTTGCGTCGGGCGGCTGCCGAACTGCGGTCTGGCGGTGCACGCGCTGGCGGCGGCGGTGCGGGACTGCCTCTCGGAGCACTGCCTCTCGCTCGCCGTCCTGCAGAGCGAGCACCGCGAGGCGGCCCTGCCTCTGCAGCAGCTGGCGTGGCGAGCTGCCGCCCGCGAGGCGCCCAGGAGGCGCTCTCTTCACAGCCACCGGCCCCGTGAGCAGGTCCACGAGCTGCAGCCCGCTTGCCGAGCGCTCGCCCTGCTCCACTCCCTCGTTTGCGAGCTTCTCGCGCCGCCAGACAGAGGCGGAGCGGGGGGAGGCCACGGGGCGGCCGGCTTTGCCGAGCCGGTGCCTCCCCCGCCCCACCGAGGCGGGGGGCTGCTGCGGCTGCTCGCGGAGCGGCGGGCGGGGCTCGGGGGCGACGAGGACGGGCGCGCGCTGTGCGGCTTTCTCTTCCGGAGGGCGGCGGCGCCCTTCCTGCGCTCGCTGCGGCAGTGGGTGTACTGCGGCGTGTGCGACGACCCGCACGGCGAGAGACGTCTCTGCCGCGACGCGAGCGGCGTGCGAGGCGTGCGGACAGCAGCCTCCCTCCGCGCCTCGTAGGCGAGTTCTTCGTCGTCAGCGACCCGCGCATCGCCAAGGAGAGCCTCACCTCCGACTTCAGCTGCGCGTACTGGGAGCGGCGCTTCTCCTCGCGGCCGGAGCTGACGCCGCCCGCTCTCGCGCCGCACGCGCGCACGGCGCTCGACGCGGGCAAGCTGCTGCACCTGGCGAGGGAGAGCGGCCTCGAGCCGTCCAACCCGCGGCTCGAGCAGGAGGGCGGCCCGCTCTCGTCGCCGGACTGCCTCCTCGACGCCACGGCGCTGGGAGGCGCTCTCGTGGAGGCTCGGGCGTGGGCAAACGCGCGCGCGCTGCAGCTGCTGCTCGGGGGCGGCAAGGGCGAGGGCGAGCTCTTCGGCCGGCTCGCGTCGCTCAAGCACTACTTTCTGCTCGACCAGGGCGACTTCTTCGTCCACTTCCTGGACTCGGCCGAGCCGACTCGCCCGCGCACAGCCCCCCCGCAGGAGGAGCCCTGCTCGCAGCCTGTCTCCGACCCCCCTGCAGGCGGAGGAAGAGCTCGTCAAGCCCGTCGCGCGCATCTCTGTCGGGAGGCGCGCGCTCTAGCTGTCTCGGCCACGCCTCGGCCACACCCACACCCCCCCCCACACCTCAACGCCACCCCGCCCAAGCATCGGTTGGGTGTCTGCAGGCTCGCGTCCAAGCTGGAGCTGTCGCTGCGCCAGGCGGCGCTCGTCGACCCGTACCGCTCCTCCCTCTCCTGCGAGCTGCTGCCCTGCAACCTCACCTCGCAGCTCCTCCGCATCATCAACTCGGCGCGCGCCGTGCCGCCGCCGCCCGCCGCCGCCGACAAGACGCCCGGCCTCGACGCCTTCACCTTCGAGTACCGCGTTGGCTGGCCCGCCTCGCTGGTGCTCTCGCGCCACGCCCTCATCAAGTACCAGCTCCTCTTCCGCCACCTCTTCCACTGCAAGCACGTCGAGCGGCAGCTCTCCGCCTGCTGGCTCTCGCTGCAGGCGGAGCCGCGGCCTCGGCTCACCCTCGGCACCATCTCGGCTCAACCTCGATCTCGCCGCAACCTCGCCTCAACCTCGCCACGATCTCGGCTGCAGGACGCCAAGCGGCTCGGCTCTCTCGGCGGCGCGCTCGCGGCGTCGCACACGCTGCGGCAGCGCATGCTCCACTTCCTTCACAACATGGAGCACTACATGATGCTCGAGGTGCTCGAGCCGAACTGGCACGTGCTCATGCTGCGGCTGCGAGGCGGCCGAGATGCGGCCGAGATGCGGCCGAGATGCGGCCGAGATCATGCATGCGGACGAGCCCATCTCAGCGGACCCCTCGGCCCCAGGCGCCCAGTCGGTGGACGAGCTCATCTCGCTGCACGCCTCCTTTCTCGACCGGTCGCTCAAGGAGCGAGACGCAGCCCAGAGCTGGCCGAGACCCGGCAGAGCTCGCCCACAGCCCCCCCCCCCCCCCCTTCCGTGGGCAGGAGTGCATGCTGCGCGACGCGCCGCTGCTCAAGCTCCTCGCGAAGCTCCTCACCATCTGCGTCATCTACGCCGACCAGACGCGCTCTCTCTCCGCCGCCATCACCGCAGCGGTGGGCGAGGCGCCGCCGCTGCGCGCGGGCGCGCCGGCACGGGGAGCGCACGGCCACACCCGCGCACGGCGTCTCGTCACGACTCGCGCTGAGAATAGGTGCGCCGCACGAGGAGCGCGCCGCCGTGCGGCGCGAGACGTGTCGCCGCGTGGAGCAGCTCATCTCGGACCGGAGGTACGCGCGCAACGTGGAGACTTTCGGCCAGAAGTTCGACGACGAGCTGCTCGCGCTGCTGGCCGAGCTGCGCAAGCAGGCGCACCGCGAGTGGAACCTCGCCCACCTCCTCGCGCGCCTCGATTTCAACCACTTTTGGAGGCAAAAGCAGGCAACAGCCCCCGCCGCAGCGCCCTCGGCGGTGGGCGAGTGAGGGTGCGGCTTGGGGGAAGTATAGCCGTGCGTGGTCCATGTCCATGTGGTCGTGTATACCAGCAGCCAGGTGCGGACCTGGTATATAGTTCGCACCTGGTATACAGTGCGGAACATCTGCCGAACGATAAAATTACCATCACAGATGTAACCACTCTGACTCTCAGTCTCACTACCGGGTCCGGGACAGTCGTAACCAAAAGGGCGTAGACTTGCACTTGGAGCACTTGGAGTGCAGTCATCAACCGCACATCCAGGGCCGGGAAGCTAAGAAGCACACCCAGCGGGCCGGATGATTGGCATCGGGTTGCGGCTTGCGGGCAAGAGAGCCTAGACCTACTCTCATAAAGAATTCGCGCGCCGCACAACAAGGTCGACCATTAGGTCCTGTCTGTTCCGGCTCGCCGCGACCGTTCACCACCGCCGGACAGCTGGCCGCCCAAAGGACATGCCCGCCCGCACACCAATCGGGCAGCTCGCGGCGCAGCGGCGGCTTGAGACTCAGCTAAGAACACAGATGGCTGGGAGGCGGCTTGTCGCTGTCTCTGCCCAACCGACTCGTGACCAGCTTGGGCTGCACGTTCGGCTGGAGTTCTCAGACTCTAGTCACTCCGTGTGGCTCCACTTTACAAACACGAGCGCCAGCTGCCTCCGCGAGGCGATCTCTACCGTCGGTCGCAGTCAGCGGTCGGGCGCCATCAGACTCCACCTTCACCGCCCAGAGAGCGAGAAGAAGAAGAGGACGGCACGCGAATGCTCGCGAATGCTGCCGACCCACGTGCTGACCCCAGCCGAGGTCGACCTCCTCGGCCCCGCCGCCGCCTGCTGCATATGCCTGGAGGACTTTGCCGCGGGCAACCGCGTGATGGTCGTGCCGTGCGCCGGCCTGCACAAGGTGGGGCGGATGGAGCTGAGAAGCAGCTGAGACTCACATCCACCGCTCCTCACGCCACAGCTCCTTGCACGCACAGGTCCATGCTGCTTGCGGCCGACGCTGGCTGGAGAAGGAGGCGAACACGTGCCCCGCCTGCCGGCACGAGCTGCCCTCGGACGGCGCGGACGCCGAGCAGCTCAAGGCCCTGCGCGGTCTCGCGGTGCGAGACACAGTTCCGAGCCACCTCCAAGATTCACGCGCCGCAACACGTGACGCACCCATGACACGTAGGCGCGTGAGATCTGGCGCGTGCAGCAACTAGGGCTGCAGCAGCAGAGTCCGGAAAGTAGCGAGGGGGAGAATAGTCAGCGGAGGCAGCAGCGCCCTTCGCCCCGCCGAACAGCGCCAAAGGCGGCGCCGCCGGCGGCGGTGGAGAGGCGCGCACCCGAGAAGGGGAAGCGCGCTGGCCTTGGCGGCTGGCTCACTGCAGGCAGCCGTTGGCTCGACCGCCTGCAGCCGGGCGGCGGGCGGGAGTCGAGTGCGGCGACGCCTGTGCCCTCGCGCGGGCAGCGGCTGTCGGTTGGGCAGCGACTGTCGGCCGGGAGGCGGCGGCGCGGCCGCGATTGCGAGGGCGAGCAGGGCTGCCAGGCGGGAGGGCCGAGGAGGGCCGATGTGTGAAGTCTCTCGGTGAGGGAGTCGGTGATTGGAGCGTACGCAGCGCTGCCGCGCACCGGACACAAACACTTAGTCATGTCGCATGATATCTCGCATGCATGTTGTCCACTGTCTAATGCTGTAATCTCCCACCCATGCTCCCACCTCTCTCTCTCTCTCTCTCTCTCTCTCTCTCTCTCTCTCTCTGTGACGAGCGAGAGCAAGGTGCGTACTCTCTCTCTCAATTCTTTGAGGTTCACCTCTAAAGCCCTGATACAAGATTTTTGCCGTGCTGCGCCGCGCCCCCACTTTTCCTCTCCTCCATCTCGAGGGGCCGTGACGCTCCTCTTCACCATGATGCTCCTCGCCATCATCGTCACCACGACGTGTCAGCTGCGGACGGGCGTCGCCCTCCCCACGACATCGTGCGCCCGCTCTCCAACGTCGCCGAGATCCCTGCCTCGCCTGCCAGGAGCGGCGTCGAGCTCCTCGCTGGGCAGGTGCGCGGGTAGGGCTCTCCACCATACTCTGCCGCGATCCCGGCTGCTGCGAGCACGGCGCCGCCCGGTGCGCGCGACATGACCCCTGCCGTTCCCGCGCACGCAGGTCGCCGAGGAGGATGTGGAGTGCCAATGCGAAAACACGACATATGAGCGCGCGCCCGCCGCCGCCATGCAGTCCCGCCCCTTCCCGCCGTCGATTTCGTCGCCGTCCGTGCGCGCGCCGCCGTTCACTCCGCCGCCGCCGTCGTCCCCACTTCCGCCGCCCCCGTTTTGCGCCTCGCCGCCGCCGCCGTTCTCCTTCTTCCCAGGCCTTGCCGCCATCGCGTTGCCGCGAAGGAAAAAGAATTGGTCAGGTCGAGCACGCTTCTATACGCTCGCCCAGCCTTCCTTTCCATCCCATTAGGCAGCCTGGGAACGGTGGCGGTCAGAGGCAAAGCCTGCGAGGGGTGGTGGAACCACATGTCACGGGGCTACCGCCGGCTCGACCCCACGATAGCCTCCGGAGGCTGACTTTGAGGCACAACCATCGGACGACGTCGGCGAGTTGAGTCGCGCTCGCGGTAGCCAGATGACCTCTCATACTAGTATCATCGGCCATGGCCGCAGGAAGCGCGGGGGAGGGCGCTGGGAGCAACACGGAGCTCCGTTGGACGCGTTTTCAAGATGAGCGTGTCAGAGTGAATTGGAACTAGCCAGAATGGCACGGCAGCTAACACGTAACAGTAGACTCGGGGCTACGGCTCTACACGCGTACGGAGGATTATAGAGTAGCAGTAGGGCTCCGCTCTGAGCCTCTCTGACTCGTGACACGAATCTCTCTGTGCCCGGGCACACACTAGACGGGTGTGTCAGACTCGTGTTCCGGGGAAACGACGCCGCCCTCGCCCGCCGCGGCGGCCAGAGCGCTCGGCGACGGCGGTGCGGGCGCAGACGCGGGCGCCGGCGCCGGCGCGGCGACTGGCGGGGCTGGCGGAGGCGGCGGCGCCTCTGGCTGGGGCGGCGGCGGCGCTGCTGGTGGTGGTGGTGGTGGCGCTTCGGGCGGAGCCAGCGGCGCCTCCTCATTCTCATCTGAGCCCGCCAGTTCCTCTGGCTCGTCCGAGCCGGCGAGCTCCTCCGGCATCGCACCCGCATCGCTCACGTCGATCTCCTCCGGCGGCGGCGCCGGCCAGTCCTGGCTTAGGTGCACGTCGGTGTCCGCACCGCGGGCAGGGGTTGTATCCAGCCCTGATCCTAACAGGGCTGGGGTGCTGGCAGGGGTAGCGAGGCTGGCAGGGCTGGCGGGGCTGGCGGCGCCATTCCCGATGGGGGAAACCTGGGGCGCCGCCACACGCGCTGCTGGCTCCTTGAGAGAAGCTGCCTGCTCCTCCTGCCTCTCTGCCGCCTCCTCCTCTGCCCCGGTCGCGGGGCTCTCGCTGGACCGCGCCAGCGGCTGCTCGACGAGCAATGCCAGGGGCTCCTTCCCCACCCTCGCCTCGGGAGCCGGACCGGGCGGCGCGCGGCCCGGCGGCGCAGCCTACTCTCACCAGCCATTCCTGAGTCACGAGGCATTCTTTAAGGCGCTTTCGTCCGCCGGCGGAGGCTCCGCCGGTCGCGTCGCCATTGCCGCCAGTTTTGCCTCGAGCGACTCGAGCTCCGCCCGCAGCGCCGCCGCCTTGGCCGCCTTGGCCGCCTTGGCCTTGTCGGTGATGGTGGGGTCGCCTGCCGTTTCACCCGGGCCGGAACTTCCCTGCCCGTTCGCGGTGCTGCGGTCGCCCTCGTTGCTCTGGCTCGCCTTCGTGGTGTGCGCGACGTTACTCGCGAGCTCGACCAGCACCGCGAAGCCCTCGCTGCGGTCGCCCTCGTTGCTCTGGCTCGCCTTCGTGGTGTGCGCGACGTTACTCGCGAGCTCGACCAGCACCGCGAAGCCCTCGCCCGCCGCCGCCTCGCCCGCCGCGTCACCCGCAGCGGCGGCGGCGCCTGGCGTCTCCGCTTCCGCCGCCTCCGCCGCCTCCTCTGCCTGCACCGCCTCGACCGTCGCTCCCTCCTTCGCAGCACCCTCCGCCGCGTCGACGAAGCCGCTCGGTGGAGGCTGCACCGTCAGCGAGAGCGGCCGCGCGGACCTAAGGAGACGGGTCTGGTGAGCTGGAGCTTGGTGGGGCAAGGGCGAGCACTCGCGTAGCAGAGAGTGCGGGCACGCCTCTGGAGCACGAGCATCAGCTCCTCCGCAGTGAGGCCGCTCACCTACACCCGAGCAAGGCTCGAGATCTACACGCGATGTGCAACCCAGACCGACCCCTCCTCCCTGGGCCGGGTGTGCGCACGTCGATGCCGTTGAGCGCGAGCACGGTTGAGGAAGGCGGCACGCCCTGCTCGAGCGCCGCGCAGGCGGTGGCCTCGAGGCAGAGGGCGAGAGCTGAGTTAGACCGACGGGTGGAGGTATACCCTCATGGAGGGAGGGGGTGTCTCGGCTAGGCTCGGCAGTATGCACCGTGATGATGACGCTGTCGCTTGGGATGTCGTCCACCAGGACGAGGCCGATCGTCCCGGCGCCAAACGAGAAGGAGAGCGGGGACGGCACCCCCGTCTCGCTGCCATGCGCGGTGCCTCGCCTATCTGCAGCAGCGGCGAGCCGGCGCCTCGCCTCGGCCCCGAGCTGGACCGCCTCCGCCGCCACCTCCTTGGCGGAGTCCGCCTGCAGCAGCGGCGCGCCACGCCCCCTGGGGCGGGGTTCGGGGGGGGGGCGGGGGGGGGGGCGGTGGTTGGGGTCCTCGACGTTCTATACACGTACACGTCCCGCGGCGTGAGACCGCTCGCGCGGCAGCGCAAGGGCAGAGTGTGAGTCAGAGTCCGCAAGGCCCGTGCAGGCGCGAGTGTGTGAGCGAGAGCCTGCGCCGCAGCAGCGAGAGGTGGCGGTAGCACATGAGCAGAGCGCCAACGATGGCCGAGTGTGTGAGCGAGAGCCTGCGCCGCAGCAGCGAGAGGTGGCGGTAGCACATGAGCAGAGCGCCAACGATGGCCGCGCCGGCCTGAGCGCACGGGAGGCGCAGCAGTGACGCACTGCACTTGTCGCATGTCTCCACTGTGTCTAGAGAAGTGCCTAAAGTGCCTCCGTGGCGATGTGTCCCCAGTGTGTGTGCGTGCTGGGGGGTGTCCTCTCGCCAGGTTGGACAGCGCGCTCACGCGGAGGCTCGTCGCGTCCTCCTCGTCCAGAGTCAGGCCCGCCTCCTCGGCTGCGGCGATGATCGCCTCGTTGACGAGACCGTCCAAGTCCGGGGGCGGCGGGTACGGTGACGGCGGCGGCGAGGGCGGCGCGGACGGCGGCGGCGGCGGCGGCGGCGGGCTTGGCGGCGGCGGTGGAGGAGGTGGAGGAGGTCGAAGGGGGCTCGGCGGCGGCAGGGGAGACGGTGGGGGCGGCGGCAGGGGCGGCGGCGGGGGCGGCGGCAGAGGCGACGGTGGAGGCGGTGGAGGCGGTGGAGGCGGTGGAGGCGGTGGAGGCGGTGGAGGCGGCGGGGTAGACGGTGGAGGCGGTGGAGGCGGTGGAGGCGGTGCAGGTGGTGCAGGTGGAAGCGATGGCGGCCTCGGGGGCGGGGGCGGGGAGGCGATATCAAACAGATTGGCGAAGCAGCAGCCGAGGCAGTCGCATCCAAACTTGCTAGAGCTGTCGGCGCACGAGTGCGCCCCGATGATAGTGATGCACCTTTGGTCTCGCCAGTCGGCCGTCTGGTTGGCCCAGCACAACCGCTGGCACGCGGGGGGCGAAACATAGTCCATGCAGCAGCCGCCGCAGTCGCACCCAAGGATGGAAAGCGTTTCCGAGCAGGTGAGCGAGTCCAGCAGTTCCACGCAGACTCCGTTTGCGCAGGGCCGGAGACAAGCTTCTGGGTTGAAGGCATGAGCGGATCTGAGGATGAGGCTGAGGCAGGCCAGCACATTTCCGTTCATGTTCGACATACACGTACTTTTTGATCGTCGCAGAGAGTCGCTGTTCATGCCTGCAGGGGATTCTTGATCGTGGTGTTAAAGGTTGTGACTTCTTACTGTCGTTGCTGTTTCTCGACTGCCTGTGCTTGTGCATCTTGGGTCCGGGGTTGTGTTTTTGTGTGAGCCGGAGATTTGAATTCCTACCACACTCTATTCTACTCGACTTCTCTCTGAAGTGTACCTGTGTTAGTGCCAGTGCGCGCCAGTCCCGCCCAGTGTCGTGCGAGGGAGCTTTCTTGTAAAATTCTCTCCGAAGCCTTTTCCTTTTTCTTCTCCAGCTCAAAATCCCAAGTTCACACCCAATCAAGAGAGTAGAGCACACATGTGTGCAGCGGCACCAAGCGGGACTGGTACTAGCTAGGTACCCCAAAATTCCCCAGCGCTACTTTTTCGTCGGCGCCAGGAACGCCTCCAGCTCCTTTTTCAGCTGCGCGTTTGTCTTTTTGAGGTAAGCGACCTCCTCGGCGTGCTTGGCCTCCTTCTGGGCCCGCTTCTCGCCCTCCCGCTTCTCGATCGCCTCCGCCTTGGCCTTGAGCTCCAGCACCTGCGGCAGAGGCAATGCGCACATGAGAGTCACACAAGCCAGCGAACCGCCCCCTCGGACTCTCTGTCCAAAGGCACGCCTGCTCCTCGAGTCCCCGCTTCTCCTCCTCCAACTGCTCGACGCGCGCCTCCAGGTCCGCTTTGCCCTGCTCCGCCTGCAACGCCTGTTCACACAGCTAGCTGTGTGAACAGAAACACCGATCGCGGGCCCGCTTCTCTGCAATGAGGTGCCTTGCGCATCCCAAAGGCGATTGACGACTCGTACAGCGTCTGATAGGCAGCGATCGTCATGCGGATCTCGTCTCGCACGCGCAGCAGCAGCAGGCCGCGCTCCGCGCAGTTGACAGTCACTTGCCGGATCAGCTCGTCTGTCGGGGCATCGGGGACGGGTGAACAGCGTCCGGCCCAGTCACTAGCGCTGGCTGGTGGCGGCGGTGCACACCAAAGCACTGCCCGTAGAGCTCTTCCCTCACGGGGCAGATGCCAGTCTCACGCGCCTGCGCGGCGGGAGGGGCATGCGGCATCGAAGGTTAGGTTGAAGCATCTCGGCCGCCCTCAAATATGGCCGGTACGGTCCATAGCACGGGGTGCAGGGAGTTCTGGCGTGTGTCTGCACCTGGCGCGCGAGTAGCCGCTGGTCCAATGTCTCCTGCGTGTTGATGACGTCGAGGCGGGTCGCGGGCGTGGGCGAGACGTACTGCACCCAGAGCTTGCCCTCATCCGTCCACTCGCGCGGCGGCAGGATCGCGTTGAGGATATCCTCAGTCTGAGGGGTGATACGAGAGGGTTGGTTGTTGGATAGAGAGGGAAAGAGAGAGCAGGGAAGGGAGGAGCGGGACGTAAACGGGAGGCATTGGAGAGGCGATCTCTGCGGAGATCTGCAGCCGACGCGGCGGCAGCGTGGAACGGCCACGGTGTTGCTCGAGACTGTTGGAATCGGTATATTCGCTCGTTTATCTCACTCCTTCTCAGAAGGCTCTCGGAAGCCGCCGCACGCAGGTCATTGGTGTGTGCAGGCTGTGATGTGAAGACGGGGGTTGCCGGAGCGGCTACTGGCTACTTTGGCGATAATAGTGAGGTCGTCAGCTGCTGCAAGCAGCAAGGGCGAAGCACAAGATAGCAGAGAGATAGATCATCAGCGGAGCACACCTGCGGCATCTTTGACTCGACCGGCGGAAGCTTCTTGCCGGATCCGGCCTTTGCAAACTTGGCGGGCTTGGCATCGCGAGTCGTGAGCAGAGAGGGGGTGTCGTACTTGATCAGTGATGCATGGGCGGCTCCACCGCCCGACGGCGGCGGCGGGATCCCCATGTCAAGAGCAGGGGGAGGCGTGCTCTGAAACGACCAGCCCAGTGCCGGGGCGGCCGTTTCACCGGCCGCCGATCACGCCTCTCACACGTATCCCGCCGCCGCGCGGGCCGGTACATGCTACGACGAGAGACGCCTCGAAGTGATTCCAAGTGCTCCAAAAGTGCCTCACAAGTCGTCGCAAGTGCTCCTAACTTATGGACGGAGGTGGGTATAACGAGCGGGTCCCTGTAAGTGAGGTGTGCAAGTTTCGATCACAACCTTCGACAACGTAAAGAATGGGAAGAGCGCGAATGGCTCGGCACGTCAGGCCTCGCTAGTACGTCCGCCACCGCCCGCCACCACCTTCGCAAACGCCTCCAGTCGCCGCTTCTCGCGCTTGATCGCGCGCTGCTGCATGGCAAAATTGCGTGCCTTCCGGTGCATGAAGTACCTACAGAGAGAATTGCAAGGGCAGAAGATCGGGGCATGGTTTGCAGAGACAGTACGGGCGACTAGAAAGGCACATGATCAGTGGCACCGCGAAGGAGCTAGTCACCAGCACGACGCCTGATAGTCGTCGTGGTTTGGGGTGACCGCGGTGTGTCGCAGGCTCGATTGTTTCCAGGACATGCTCGCGGCACCTTGCAGCTTGTACCGCATGTCGATCAGGATCAAGAAGCCAAAGGCGATCACCTATTCACAGCTGCAAGCTGAGGACAGCGTGTTTCAGGGGAGATTGACTGCATCTGCAACGCGATCACCAGCAGCACGACGGCGAGGATCAGCGATGGGCCGAGCAGCCGCGTGGTCAGCGCAAAGCACGACATGAACTCCTTGAGCTCCTCCTCGGTGGACACCTGCTCACAGCCATAGGTGTGGAGAGATGCTATTCACCGGTCGCGATAGTCCTCGGCGAGCACCTTCTTCAGCGCATTGTCCGTCATCACGCAGACGATGGTGACCTGTTCACTGCTGTAGCTGTGAAGAGAAACGCTTCACGGAGCAGCAAATCTCGCGTGCTCAGCGCACACTCAGCAGTGTGATGAGGCAGAAGTAGCCACTTATGTAGAAGCCGAACTGTGTGAGCTCGATCATGAGCCCCGTGCTAATTGGCACGATCTCATTGGCTTTGAAGCCGGCGGCCACAGACGGCTCGGTCAAGCAGCCACCGCTGGCGCCAATGCCTGTGCTGCACTCGTAGTCGGTGCTTTCGCTCAGGTCGAAGAGTTTTGCGTTGGAAAGCACGTCAAAGATGATGGTGGCGAGCAGCCCGGCGAGAATGGCCATGTTCTGGTTGGCGGAGGAGGAACACGCGGTGGGCTGGATGGTGGCGTCAGTGAATCGGTGGTAGTGCGTCAGGGGGCGCCTGGTAATAGCTCGCGAGTCGCTCCATCGTATCGCCAAAGCCGACGCCGGCGAGCAAATCGTTCCATTCGGCGTGCTCCGCGCTCTTGGCTATCACGTTGCTCGACGAGGGAAGTTCCATCCCCTTGGCAGCTTGCTTCCAGCGGCTCTGGGCTGCCGCATGCTGCGCTGCCGAGTGCCTGGAGAAGATTGCCCCCGTAAGCGGTTGCGGAGATCAGACCCGGCGTGTCGCGTGTGTGCGCATATATGAGTGCGCCGTCCATGCTAGCGAATATACAAACTTAAACTTTGCGCCTGGGCGATGCATCCTCGTCCTGGGTGTCAACCTGGGTGTCGGCACCTGCCCTGCCTTCTTCGGCCACGAGCGGCGGCTCGTCCGCCACTCGTTTTAAGTCCCGCTTGAACATGGGTGCCGAGCTACGCAGAGAGTGCCGCGGGGGCCCAGCCGGCCATGGTCTGTTACAGCTTGCGCGCTTTATTTTCTGCGTGGCGCCCCCCCAGACCCCCGCACACCCGCCGCGCGCGGTTTTGGGGTGATGCTCTGCGGCCCCGGCGCGCGTCCAAAAAAGATTTTCGCTTTTGATTTCCTGTTCTCTGATCCCGAAAAATCCGTGCCACGCCGCCCTTGCCCTTTAGCCCGCCGTCCCCCCTCCCTGCCGTCCGTTACCACCGTGCCGCCATACCGCCGCTCCTACAGTGCCGCGCCCGCCGTGCCGTTTGTCCCGTCGTCCGATGCCCCGCCTGCCGTCTGTTGCCGCCGCTCTGCCTTACCACCGACCCTTACCGTGCCGCGCCGCCTTTACACACACCTTACCTCCTGCTCGACTGAGTTTGCGCTGAGAAGTGACCCGAGCCGCCGGGTGCCCCGCAGCGGCCTCGCTGGACCAGAAGAACCGGTCCGCGAGTGCTCCGCAGCAACCTCGCTGAGCCAGAACGTCGGCTCGCGAGGTGGGGTGCTAGTATGAGACCGATCCGTCGCAGTTCTCTTGCTCCAAGCGCTTGCGCTTCGGCGGTTAGTGGTGCACTAACCTCCGAGAAACCCTTCGGGTCGCTCCTCATCGCAAACCCTGTCAGCAGAGTCCTCCTACGGGAATGTACGTAAGAGCCACATACACTAAAAAAAAGAGCAGTGTGGGACAAACTGGCAGCATAAATAAATAAATAAAACGGACACACCAAACAAGGGGTGGGAGAAGGACAGGGTCCCCACCTGCGCGAGCAGGATCTTGTAAGGACGATCAGGGACACAGGGGAAGGGGAGCGGGGAGCGCATCGTGACTCGGAGGGGGGCTGGGCAGGGTTGGTTCACCCACACGACAGGGTCCAAACTGGCAGCAAAAAGAAAGAAAGAAAGAAAATAGACAACCCGAGAGAGGGATGGGAGGACGGCACGCCGCCACCACACAGGGATTTTAAGGAGAGGTGTGTAAACTGGCAGCAAAGAACGCCGCCGTTTGCTTCTTTTCCCTTTCCTGAAACGAACCGCGCGGTCCCGCCCCCAGGCGTCTCTCTGCTGATTTCGTGCCTGGCCTCGATTGCCAATATACGCCTATGCCTGAAGACGAGGGTGGCTGGGACGTGGAGTCGCTCCTGCCGTACACGCCCCCCAGCTGGGTGGAGGTGAGGGGCTCGAGCCGTGGCAGCTTTCGCGTTCAATGTGAAGGTATGCCTGCCCTGTTTGCCATCACCTGGGCTCAAGAATAGGCGGCGCTATGTGACTCACCCGGCGAGGCCTCTCACGACCCGACGCATAGGCGTGGACTCCATCGCCGGCCTCCAGTGGCTTGTCCACGAGAGGCTGATGCTGCAGCCCAACCAAGGCGCGAGGGCCTCATCTGCTGTCTCTCAACTCTCCCTGCTACCTATCTACACCCCGCTGCCCCAATGGCCGCGCTGCTTCTCGGCTCGCTTGACTCTATCATCACAGCCTCACACGTCCCTGCTGCCGCCGATCCCTGCCACTGCCTCTCCACTCTCCCTCGCTCGCCCCACGCTGTCACCCTCGCTTGCCGTGCTTTCCTGAGGCGTCCGGCTGAGCCACTGGGGGCGTGAGTGCCGCGGCGAGGAGACGTTCCGCTCGCTCTCGCTGCAGACGGGCGCCAAGTTTGAGATGGCGCTGCTCCTTCAACGCGCTCCTGACGCGCAGCTCGCCCGTGGCCCCAGATGCTAGACTCAAGTATCTCTCACTTGGATTGCGAATCGCCTGCCCGACGTCTGTTCGATTACACGTCACGACTCCGCTCGTCTGTCGTCCATGTAGGCACGCGTCCGAATTGCATGCAGCGCCCTCCGCACGCGGCAGGCCATCCCGTTTGGATCCGTAGCCCTTGCAGCCCAGCTGCTGTAGCGAGAGAGCCGCCTCTCTCCGTCCCTGCCCTCTCTTGTGCTCTATCCGACATGGCCCTCGAGACAGCTGCTCCGGCCCTGAGCGTTGCCCCGATCCCGACCGTAGTACGCTGTTGACGCGGCGACGACAGTTCTGCAACTCAAAACGCTGATCGAGTCGGGAGCAAAGGCAGCCACTACTTATCTATCGGGACCCCCTACAGCTAGTCTGCGTGCCATCACAGTACGTCTGCGTCGCGGTGACCGCTACTTCCCACCGCAGCCACCCGTCCCACTACCTCCGCTTCATAGGAGGGCGACCACAGGTGGTATGACCACCTCGGCTCGCCCGTCGACGCTCGAGGCTGCACGGTGATCGCCGCAGCGACGGCCGCCGGGGACGCCAAGGCCGGCACGGCGACGGTACGGCTGGGGGAGGAGTTCGTCAAGGCGGGGGGGGGGGGCGAGGTAAGGATGCCACTAAGCCCGCCTATCCCGCCCTTGCCGTGAGCTCAGTTGGTAGCCCAGCCCCTGCCCACCATACTCGTGTGTGGGGGGACCATCAGGTGCGGCGAGCCAACTCTGGTACGAAGTGCTCCGTGCCGGACTCGCTCCTCGTGCCTGTTGCCCCCGCGCTAGCGCCGAGCCGACAGAGCCTCTACTATCGCGGCAGGCGGCTCGCGGACGAGGAGCGCCTGACCGAAGCTGGAGTCTTACAGGTGTAAGAGACGCTCCCCCTCTCCCAGTTCGAGCACCAAACGTCAAGACGATTCCGTTTCTGGGGATGTACTCTCACCCTTTTCGGTCCGCCCCGGCAGGATGACGAGCTTATTCTCGAGTTTGAGAGCCCGTGCATGCCCGACGTGCTGCGGCGGCTTAGGGAGGGCGGGGGCAAGAAGGGCAAGAAGGCAGAGGGTAAGAAGGGGGAGGCGAAAGGCAAGTCTGGGAAGAAGAAGAAGAAGGGAAATGGCTAGCGCGATATGCACTACCCATCGCTCGCCGCTTCCTACATAATCCTGGCAGCGCGGGCGTATACTCATGTGTGTTTTGCGCCGGCGTGTGTGTGGCTGTGTGGGGTGGGGTGGGGTGTCGAGATGCGACTCTTGAGCGCGAGTACCGAGAGGCGAGAGCGAGAGTGACGAGATGTCCGTGTCTCGTGTGTATGGACACTATTCATTGAGCTCTCTTCGTCCGTACAGGATTACTCAGTCTCTGCACACCACACGACGACAAGAGTCCTGCGTGTCGCCGCGCATAATCTATCGCCGAAGTTTACAGCTCTCTCCGCGAAGCTGGCCACAGCGCGGTCAGTCCGGCTCGCCGCTTCCTTCGCCGCTGCCCTCCTCGCCGCTCTCCGGCCAGCCCCCCACCACGCCTCCCGCCACCAGCCCGAGCGTGACCCACGTGCCGAGCGTCGACACGACGATCGCGACGACGCCCGTCCACTGCGTCACTGCCTGCCGCTCGCTCTCAGGGAAGGGGTCGCCGGCGATGCGGTAGAGCAGCGGCGAGAAGAGCCCGTCCGCGAAGCGTGCCACGGTCGCGGAGACGAGCAAGGCGGCGCGCGCACCGGTCGAGGAGCCGAGGGGCCGCCAGCCGGCGCAGAGGGCGGAGATGGCGACCAGCGGGAGCAGCTCGCACGCGAGCGCCGGCGCGAGGCGGACGGCGCGGTCGGGCACGTACGCCGAGAGCGTGGCGCCGGCGAAGACGGCGAGCAGCGAGACCTCGACCGTCAACGCCTGCAGCTCGCCTGCGTGCCCGTCCTCGTGCGCTTGCTGCGCGCTGGCGGCGGTGCCATCCTCGCTGGCTGCGCGCGCCGCAGCGTACGGCATGAGAGAGCGGAGAAAGATCCAGCAGACGAGCTGGAGGATGGCGTTGACGGCGGCGACGCGCACGACGTGGGGGTGGAGCGCGAACCACGGCAGGAAGCCGCCGCAGCCGCGCGCCCTGCGGCACCACCTCGCGCAGCGCGACCCGCTCGCCCGTCGGAGGATCAGGTCGCTCTGCTGCACGTGACGCATGCTCGCCATCCCGTCTCCCGCAACCGGCTGCCTCGCCCGTCGGCCGCCCTCGCCTCGGCTGGCGCTGCACTCGGCGGCGGGGCGCGAAGAGTGCCGGTTCCGCCGCCGCCGCAGCAGCGCATACGCGGCGGCGCCGAGTCCGACGAGGGTCGCGACGACGGCGAAGAAAACGCTGACGGAGAAGCGCTGCTCGGGCGAGCCCGGCATCTGGAGGAAGCCGACGAGCGAGCAGATGACGGCGCCGAAGTTGGAGCCCGCCATAGTCCACGAGACGGCGGCGCTGTCTGTGCCGCCCTCCTGCACCCACGGCACGACGGCGAGCTGCTGGAAGTTGCCGGAGAAGGTCGAGAGGAAGGAGACGGCGTAGAGGGCCGCGGAAGTGCCGCCCCAAGTCACCCTCCACGCGGCGGCCCCGAGCACCGCCGCGCCCATCTGCCCGGCGAGCGCCAGCCACACCCACCGCCCGAGGGGCCAGCGTAGCTGCCGCTGGAAGGCGTAGAAGAGCGGCACGACGGCGGTGCTGCCGATGGTGCCGGCAGTGCCGAGGGCCGTCGCGAGCGCGAGGCCCTCGGGCTGCACCTGGCCCATCCTTGCAACCTCGATCATCGTCGCGTCGACGAGAGTCCAACCCGAGCCTGCGGGAGGGAGGCGGAGGAGGCTGTGAGAGGCGTCTGGCCGAGTCCCGATGCGAGGACGTTTAGAGCATCTGGTGACGGTGGGACCGAGAGAGAGAGGGAGGGAGGGAGGGAGGGAGAGAGCGAGCGAGCGAGCGAGCGAGAGAGAGAGAGAGAGCGAAGAGCGAGAGCGAGCGAGCGAGCGAGCGAGCGAGAGAGAGAGAGAGAGAGAGAGAGACCGAGTCCGAAGATGAGGTAGAGGAGAGCCTCGTAGCCTCCGCCTTTGCCGTCACCGCAGTCCAGACAGCGATCTGGAGCGTCGGCCGGCGGCTCTGCGGCGGCGGAAGGCCCAGCGGACGACAGCGCGGCGGCAGCGGCGGGGTCCGAGGGTGTGTGCGAGGACGAAGCAGCTTGGTGCGCACACTCGACTTGGATCGCAGAGGTGCGGAGCATGGGCTTCGTCTGGCGCGGCATGCCGCTGCACACGCAACAAGCTCGTCACGTATTTCGCTCTGCAGCTGCCGCCACGCCAGCTGGTCGGACCTCGTGATGGTGGCGCCCGCGCTGCCCAACCGCCGGACCAGCACACCAGAGGGTTTTACCAAGCTGCCACCATTCACGCACTCCGGGCCCTGGGTTGGTTGGGTGGTCCCCCACTTCCTACATACATACATACCCCACTCTGCGCACTCCAGGCCTCCAGATGTTGGTTGGTTGGTCCCGCACTCTCCGCACACATATTGTCTATTACACACATAAGCAGACAGCCCCTCCCGACGGGGACGCCACCACCCTCGCCCAGGGATCTACAAACAATGCTGTCTTACTTAAGGTCCGACAGGTTCGGCACCGGGCACCGCCTCGGTATACAAAATGCGCCTGCGGGCGGACCCTTACAGATCACAGATCATTACACACATAACCGTTTTTACACAGCCTTGTCCTTATACAAGGCAAGCACCGAGGCAATTGCTGCCTTCGCTGTTGCCTTACAATTGTAGCCCTCTCGGCAATGGGGTCGTGAGCCGCCGTCACCGCGAGTGCCGCCTTAAACTTCTTGCGCACCTTGCCCTTGATTTCTAGATTGTGGACGCGCTGCTCCTCCACCTCGGCGTCGTGCTTGCGCTTCGCCTTCGGTAGGCCGATCACTGAGGCAGTCGTTGCGTCCAGTGGTGCGCCAGGTCCGATGACTGAGGTCGCAAAGCACGGGCATCGTGGGCGCCCAGCCTTAGGTCTCTCGCGGCCCGCGCGACACTTCCGAGAGATTTCTTCGTGCTTTCACAGAGGGGGGGTGGGGGGGGGCTGGTTGGCTGGTCCCGCACTTCGCGCACTCGAGGGCCCGGAAACAGTTGGTTGGTTGGTGTGGTCTTTTGTGCAGTGTGCGTGAATAGCTTGGTCCCTCGGGTGCAGTTTTGGCGTCAGAATTTCTAAAGCTGCGGTCTGTGTACTTCTTGCTTGGGCGGACCTGATGCCGGGGTAGGTAGGGTAGGTCTGGGCCCTCCCGTCGGGGTTTTCCCTCTCTTCAAGCTGGAATTTCCCCAGCAAAAAAAGAAATTTTCCGCGGAAATCACGATGTCACCCCTCCCCAAATGGGTGATCTGATGCTTGTAGGGCTTGAGAGTGGCCTGCTATGTCACAAGAAGGACTGTGGTTGCAGGAGAGTACCACGAGCCATCACTCTAGTTGGTATAGTACCCCACCTTCACCCCTCGAGTGATTTCTTTTTTTAGTTTCCCATAAGTAAGGTAGGTAGGTAGGTAGGTAGGTAGGGGCAGGGGAGAGGCCGGCCGGGTTTTTCCAGAATTTCAGCATCAGGTCCGCCCAAGCAAGAAAGAAGTACACACACCTGAAGCTGCTGGCCGAGGTCCCTTGGTGCCTGGGTGGCGGCGCACCGTTCTCCCATCTCCGTTCCTTTGTGGGCCCGGAGGCGGCTTGGTGGAAGGAAGTGAAAGCGAAACGTGGCTTCTCAAATGAAAAAAGAAAAAACAGCGAATATTTTTTGAGCTAGACTTCGTTGTTAATAGGAACAAGCGAAGGCACACACGACATGACGCCAAACACACGATTGCACGCACCGCACCGCACCTCGCACCCGCGCCCGCCGCCCCCCCGACCCCCGCCCCGCCTAGGTGGGAAAGAGATGAGGAGATGGGACAGCGCAGGATATTTTTTCCGAAACAGGACCGCCGCCCGAGCGCCCGCAGCGCATCGGTGGCGCGCCACCTCGGAGGCTCCATGGAAATCAATCACCTCGTCACTATACACCTGCAGCACGTGGTGGCACAATTACGGACCGACATCCACGACGACCCGTACCGCACGCCTCCCCCGGCGGTGATTGCGCTGCTCCGCTCCTTCCGGGTGGCGAGGCGCGCGGCGCTGTCGTATGTGGCGGGCGGGTCGTGCCTGCCGTACCTCGAGCCGTTCCTCTCCACCATCACCTGCGAGGAGACCTCAGGCGCCGTCACGCAGCGCGCCCTCGGCGCCGTCCTTGCGCTGCTGCGCGCAAACGTGCTGTCCGGCGACCACTCGACGGCCGCCCGCGCGGTGTCTGAGATTGTGTACGCGGCGACACACTGCCGGTGCGAAGTGACGGACACCTCCTCCGACGAGGTCGTCATCCTCGGCCTCGTCGAGCTGCTGCAAGGAGCCGCCCCCGCTCTCTCCTCCCCCGCCCTCCCCGCCAGCACCCGCCCCCCGCACGCCACCTCCTCGCCCTCCGCCCTGCGGCACTCGACCCCTCCCACCCCCTCATCACCCCGCAGGTGTCGCCGCCTGTGATGCCGGCCACCTCCTCACCGATCGCTCCGTCTGCGAGATGGTGCGCTCGTGCTACCGGATCTACTCGGTGACGACCCCCTCCTCCCTCTCAAGCCCCCTCCTCTCACCCCTCCTCTCACCCCCTCCTCTCACCCCTCCTCTCAGCCCTCCTCTCGCCGCTTCTTGAGCGTCGTCGAGGTTGGCGCCGGCACGGGCGGCACGGCATCGAGCGTGCTGCCGCGGCTGCGTCGGGTGTGCGAGCAGTACATGTTCACCGACGTGTCGGAGGTCTTCCTCAACCAGGCGCAGCGGCGCTTTGCCGAGTACGCCGGCTTCATGCGCTTTGAGCTGCTCAACATCGACGCC